GATTGTAGCTTCCTCTACTCGCTAGGGCAGTGGTCGGCAAGCTGCGGCTCTCGAGCCACGGTTTGTGAGCCATGGTTTGCTGCGCTGTTGACTAATGAGTTTGCCAACCACTGCTCTAAGAGCTCAATCACAAGGAACAACAACAGCTGTAAGGATTGCAATTGAGAGGCCAGTGGTCGGCAAACTCATTAGTCAACAGAGTGGCAAACTGTGGCTCACGAGCCGCAGGTGGCTCTAGAGCCCCTGTTTGCCGACCACTGCTCTCGGGGATCCGTCTTTCAAAGCACTGGTCGGAATACTTACCTGCTGATGTCTCCCTTCCTTCTGTCCCTGGGAGTTTATCCCTTTACTTTAGCAGGACGTGGATGGCGAGGGAAACAAATGCCCTTGACCCATCTGCCATGTTAGACCAAAGTCTTCCATTTTCTCACCCTAAAATTAATTGGCATATCCATTCACTCATTGCTGTGCATCTCCTAATGCTGGGCCCTGAGCTGAGTGCCGGAGAGTTGAGGAAGGCGCAGACAGTGCCTCGCCTCTGAGAAGCAGGGGAAGGAAACGCCGTGCGGGGACAGAGCCTGAAGGGTGCAGGGACATACGGACAGGGACATACGGACAGGAACAGTGCCAGCCTGAAGTGGTGCAGAGACCGGAGGGGGGTGACGAGCTTGGCTTCCCCTTGGGGACGATGGGGAAGGCCAAGCTGAATAAACGAAAACCCTGTGGCTTCGTGAATCCCACTGTGGGGGGAAGGCTGCGACCAGACCGCGCCCATTAATTATTACTGAGCGAGTCCAAGGAAAAGTGGTGTATCCGGCCCAGATCTTCAAAATCGCTCTGCTGGCTGGGTGGGCCTTGGTCTCTCCAGGGTCCTCCAGCTGCAAATGGCCCGCTGCTCCCCACCCACGCCTCCCAGACTTCCCACGGTTGCCCTGCACACTTAGAAAGGAGTCTGGCCTTGGGAAGATCAGAAATTGCAGAAGGCCTTCCCAGGGTGCGGGACATGGCATCTGCCCCTCACTGCTGCCTCCCAGCCTGAGAATAGCTCGCTGCTGACAGAGACCTTGTCAGTGTTGTTGAGAGGTGCTACTGCTAATCTCTCTGACTTTTTCTTTAAGATTGATTTCAGAGAGAGGAAAGGAGAAGGAAAGAGAGAAACAGCCATGATGAGAGAGAAGAATCATTGATTGGCTGCCTCCTGCACACCCAACATCGGGGATCCAGCTTGCAATCCAGGCAAGTGTCCTGACCAGGATTGAACAGTGACCTCCTGGCTCGTGGGTCATGCTCAACCACTGAGCCACACCAGCTGGGCTTGACTTCCTTATTATAAGGAATTTCATGTACTTGAAATTCCAGCAATATGGAACAGCTAAAGCATAGCCAAAGCCCATGAGCCCATCAATTAACCTGTTAACCCAGCAAACAACCTTGATAGTGTTTTCATTGAGGCTTGAAGACAGCACCACAAAAGGCCCAATATGTCGCACATTCAGACTGGCTCCCAACACCAGGGGCAGCAGGGCTGGTTAGCGGGGCCCTACTGATGAACTTGAACTCTGTGAGTGTGCCAGAGGTGGTATGAGGCAGAAAACAGGAACCTCTCAGTGTGTGTTTTGGCTATCCCCCCGCCCTGCTGAAAAGATTGGTTTCTCTGCCTTCTCCTGTCAGTGCTAAAAACATGACAGAACTGATGTGTGGCTGCAGACAGCAGCCACGTTATATTATAGAAACGCTTGCATCCTTGCCAGTTGCCAGCCTAAGGAGCATCACGTGGCCATGAGAATCCAAGTGTTTCTATCCCACAACCCATCCCTGGAGGCGGATTCTATCTCTGGGCAATAGCAGCCAGTGTTCCAGTTTCATATTTTTATTGGCATCGTAAACAGACAAGCGGGAGAACTATCTGGGAGGCTGTGTGTGGCAGCCCGCGCAGTTCATATCGCATTTCCTTTTGTAGCAACTGAGAGTGAAAAAGTGCTCCGTGCTGCGGCACACGGCACGCGGCACACGGATGTCCTCATTGAATGTGGTCCTATCCAGTGGGTTGCGCTGTTCTCAGTTCATGCTGATAACATGCGTTAGTCCATGAAGTGGTGAGTCAGGGTCACCACGAACCAGCCAGCCAGGAAGCATGTGAGAAGGCTCCGCTGGTCCCTCCGTAGCGCCGGGCAGCTGCTCCTTGTGGGCACCGAGGACCTCCTTTCGTTTTAAGAACTTGAAGCTTTAATGGATGCTTAAAAGGTCGCCCAAGGAAGCATCGAATGTGGACAAGATGTTTTAGGCCTGATGCACGTCTCTCTGGAAGTTCTGCTTTCCTGTCGGGTACCAGAGTCTGCATCCTCGACAAAAAGAAGAATCCTGCCTGAGGTGCTTCCAGATGGTCTTTTTGTCAAGGGAAGGTGGCATTTAGAAGCTTCTGGAAGTCCATTTCACCATTCATAATTTCAGGGCATGTGAGCCTAAGTCCAGGTAATGGAAGGTGATGAAACAAAGAAAACACTTCAAAACCTTGCTTTGCAAATAGAAGACATTCTTGATTCTTTGTGAAGCAATATTACAAGTTTGTGTGAATGTCAATGGTCAACAGCATTTTGGGGGGCATAAGATACTTTCTTCCCCTTTTCCAGAGAGGTATTGGATGAGAAGAAGAATACAGCCTAGTTCGGTGGTTGAACATTGACCCATGAACCAAGAAGTCACTGGTTGATTCCTAGTTAGGCCAGATGCCCAGGTTGCTGGCTCAATCCCCAATAGGGGGCGTGCAGGAGGCAGTGATTGAAGTTTTTATCTCTCTGTCCCTCTCCCTTCCTCTCTTAAGAAAAAACTAATAAAAAAATTGAAAAAGAGAGTAATACAAATTGTGTGTGTACATCTACACATACAAACTAATAAAAGAAAAAACAAAAAGTAAAGGTAGCTAAGAAGGTAATAATGAAACTATTTCAAAAATTATATAATTTGGAAGCAAAGGAAAGCTTTAGAAGATGGTTTGTTATACTGGGCATCAGTTACAAAAATAAAGGCAAAAGTGGAGGACATAAAAATGTCAATTGGCCTCTTAACTCTTTCCCCTTTACACACACATTTTTGTTTCTGAAAGGAGTTCTTTTCTTTTGCAATAACACACCTTATGTAATCATGCATTCTCTCTGAAGGAATGCGTTCCAATGAATCAGATTCAGGCCCCATCTCAAAAGCTAAGCGCCTCGAGCATCTATTCCTAAACTGGAAGCAAAATGGTTTTGTGAGTTTTTGAGATGTTTTCCACACAGACATTTGCAATCATCACTCTGTTCTTTCTCATTTTTCTCCTTTCTGTTCATTTTCCTGGCTTCTGCCTCCACTCTCTCGTGCCTCACTTCGGTAAGCACCTAGAAAGACCTTGCGGGATGGGTCTGTCAGTCACCATTTGCGCACGTGGCCTGCCCAGCATTCCAAGGGACCACTTTTAGGAATATTAATAAAACACCTTTCCCCGGTGAGCATTGTCCGCTGCCTCCTCTCCAGTGAGCACAAGTGAAGTGCACAAAGCGTACCTCTCTGAAATGGGACATACTTTGGGGCTACAGCAAACTTTGATGAGTGTGAGTATGGGCTGCGTTTGAAAACCAGGTTTCCCTTGAAGAGTAGTTTGTGTCCGTGCATTTAGATAAACACAGGGTAGTTCTAGGCCAGTGACCTCAGACCGTCTCAGCTGCAGTGTGTCGTTGTAGGAGAGCAAATGCTGACCTACCCTCTGTCCTCACTTGTGCTGTCAAACCCTTGAGACCCGACTGGAGGAAGGCCATTCAGAGAATCTTTGTCTCTTGTTTCAGAAATTGGCTTTTAAGAACCTACAATGGCAAAGGCCCAGGAAGCAGGGTTTGTTAATAAAAAGTCCCTGAAATTCTTGGCAGAGGAGAAAGTGTGAAGTGAATGTGACGTGATGAACACACCAGGAATAAGTTTGCCACGACTGTCCAGGTTTAATCTGCCAGTGGGAAGCCCCGTGGATGGATTTTCGTGCTGTCGTTTTGCCCCATCTCCTCGCCACTGTGTCTGCACCCGTGCCCATCCCCTGCTAGTGCCTTTCGGAGTTCGTGGCTGGATCTTACTTGTACCACGTGCAGGAAGCACTTCCTGTACCAAGGTGCTGGGAACAACATCTGTCATTACATCAAAGCAGGTGTGACTGCCAAGTGCAGCTGGAAGAGTGCTAACAATGAGGTGGTTTTAAAGGAGGTTAAAATGAAAAGAAATCTGTGTGCAGCGTCTGAACCTTTTTCTGAGAAAACAAAAATGTGCTCCTCTTCCTCCAATCTCACTGAATAAACAATTTTTTTTTTGCACATTTAGCAGGGTGGGTTTTTCTTTGGTGCTGTGAGAAGCAGCCTTATAGAGGTTGCTAGGGCGTTGAATTCTGTCTCTTGAAGTGGAAAAATCCCTCAGAAAAATGTGGTGTTTGTGGATTCCAAACCAGTATGAGGATTTCTGATTGAGTCTAGAAAAGTTATAATAAACTCATTCTACAATTAGAAAGTTGAAGAGCTGCCCTCCAGGATGTGAATCCCAATCCAGAAACGTGCTCAGCAAACGAGAACAATGCCCCGTAGATTTTCAAATTGATGGCTCTTTCCAATGGCAACTAATTTGTTCCAGCCTTGAAGTGAGCATAATTAACAGAGACTTTCTTTCTTAGGCCGATTAGCCAGCGAAAACCATGCCAACATTGTAACTGTAAGCAGTGAAAACCAATATTTATGAGGGGGATTGGGCAAGAGTTTGCGTGACAGATGGACATTTTATCACTGTTGATGTTTGGAATTCCCTTGAAAAGTAATGCAATATCTTGTTATTTGCGAATGAATGGACAAACGATTGTGCTTTGCCGGGTTTTCTTTAAAAAGAGGTATACTAAATTAATTTTTTTCTCTGTCTCGCCTTTATTACTTTATGTTAGGTAGGCTCATATATTCTGATGCAAAAGCTGAAAATCATAATTGTGTTTTTTATTACAGATACAGATCCACGTGTTTTAGAAAAACAAGAATTACAGCAGCCAACCTATGTTGCCCTCAGTTACATTAATAGGTAAGTCTTTTACAGAATTTATAGCAACCTCCTATCTGCTGCATGCTTATTTTTTTTTTCAATGTAACTTTTGACAGAGTAGGAAAAAAATGTCTTCAGTTTTAAAATATTTACGGGAGGTTATTGAAAATCAACCTTTATATGGAACGTTCTTGTGTCTCCGTTGGGGAGATCAGGAGGTAGTTTGTTCTCTGGGCATAAGGCTGAAAAACGGCTGATTTATAAGCTCATTCGGGAACTATTTTGTATGCAGAGTTCGAATATACTCTTTGGACTTCATAGGGCAGTTTGGAGATTAATGGATTTATGTTTGGATGAAACTTTTAAATGCTGGGGTGAAGAGGCATTTTATGAATTAGTGCACTGTTTGCGTATCATCAGAATATAACACATTGAAATAATTCAATTATCAGAAAGCTATTTAGTAGAAGCTCATCTTTGAGTCAAAACGTTGTCAGCAACTGAACTATTGTGAGTTTTTACTGAAAGTGAACATGTGAGCACAAGTTTAGAGAACAGTTAGACCCTGACCTATCAAGTCTGAAAGAGGATGTGGTGTTGCAGCCAACGCAGATAATTTAAGGAGACAGTGATTTTTGCAGAGAACCTGAAATCGGCTTACGGTAAGAAAACTCATACCCCTGAAGAGAGAAAAGCACAGCAAACTAACTTTTTTTGTTTGTTTGTTTAGAGAAAATGTTCTTATCCCCCCTCTACTCCCCACCCCGCACTCATGCCTTCAACCCCCTGGTGTCTGTGTCTATTGGTTGGTTAGGCTTAATACTCATACACACAAGTCCTTTGGTTGAACTAGTTTTTAATGGGAGCGACAAACCCTGCTCATAATTCAATGCATTGCCTTTCTATTGACTCCCCCTTGTTTATATACAACGAAGCGTGTGTTTTTAGTCATTGGTACCAGAGCTGAGGTTCAGGGTCTGAAGTGGAAAGTTGGGAATGAGTTACTTGTACTGTTTCATTTAACGCCTTTTTAGAAAACCTGGCTTCAGTCTTGTCTAGAGAGAACTTCGGAGTTGACTGTGCTGTGTCAAACTCTTTTATGAAGCGTGTTTATAACGGATTCATTAGCATAAGCATTTATTTGAATACCTGTTTTGTGTTTCCTACTTCCCTGAAAGTGAGAGAAAAGATCTCTAGTTTATCATGACCCATAATTTTTGAGATGTTTAAAGTAGAACACCTTCAAAACCACATCAGAATCAAATAAAGATGTTTATGTGTTATTCCAGTGGTTAGCATGGGTTTGGGAAAGTAATTATACATTAGAATTATGTGAATGTTAATTAGCCTAGTTACAGTGAAGGATGGGACAAATAGGCTTATAGATTAACTGTGGTATTAAGTAGAACTTTTTACTGTTGTGGTTATTATGTTTTGGGTAAAATATGTTACCTGGATATATACAAATTCATGTGATACCAAGCCTTGTTCTATTAAGAGTCTATGAGGTTTTCACGTTCACTCCTTCTGATTAAATTGTCAGCCATGATGGCAGCAAGGATCTATTCATTACACAGGTGTTATACTCACTAAAGAAATATATACTCTGGCCCTCGCCGGTTTGACTCAGTGGATAGAGCATCAATCTACAGACTGAAGGGTCCCGGGTTCAATTCCAATCAAGAGCACATGCCCAGGTTGTGGGTTCGATCCCCAGTAGAGGGCGTACAGGAGGCAGTTGATCAATGATTCTCTCTCATCATTGATGTTTCTATCTCTCTCTCCCTCTCCCTTCCTCTCTGAAATCAATAAAAATATATTTTTAAAAACATTATTAAAAAGATAAATACTCTGCCAAGTGTGATTCAAGGGTGATAATTTAGCATCAACTGTGCAGTGGAATATGCCTGAATCCTAGAGAGTTAGCGTTATCAGTGGGTGTGAGATTTCTTGGATGAGTCTTCTGGGAGAAAATGAGTCATTTTTTAAAATAATATTTTATTACTACAGCATTGTAGACAATTTTAAAGTGTAATCAAACAAAAAAATTTTAATTAAAATGTCACATTCCCACCATCCAGCTTTCACTACTGATAACACCTTAACAGACTTTCAAGTTATTAAACACACACACACACACACACACACACACAGCATGGTTCAGTGACTGAGTGTTGACCTATGAACCAGGATGTCACAGTTCGAGTCCCTGTCAGAGCACATGCCTGAATTGCGGGCTTGTCTCCCAGTAGGGGGCATGCAGGAGGCAGCCAATCAGTGATTCTCTCTCATTATTGATGTTTTTATCTCTCTCCATTTCTGAAATCAATAAAAATATATTTGGCCTTAGCTGGTTTTGCTCAGTGGATAGAGCATCAACCTGTGGATTGAAGGGTTCCAGGTTTGATTTCGGTCAAGGGCACAAGCCCAGGTTCCAGGCTCGATCCGCAGTAGGGAGTACGAAGGAAGCAGCCAATCAGTGATCCTCTCTCATCAATGATATTTATCTCTTTCTTCTATTTTCCTTCTTCTTTTAAACCAATAAAAATATATTTTAAAAGCATGCAACAAGAAATGTTCACACATATTATGTGTGTGTGTGTATATGTGTGTATGTGTGAATATATGTGTGTGTGTGTATGTGTGTGTGTGTATATATATATATATATATATATATATATATACACATATATATATATATGTCATTGATCTCTGCTTTTCCATTTCAGCACACTAGAATGTAATCTATATCTAACCCAGATCATATTTAGATTTTCCCAGATGAAACAAACAAATCCTTTAGAGTTGTCTGTCTCATCCAATGTCCAACCCAGAACACTGCATTACACCTACATGTTTTCCCCTCGTTTCTTTCCAACTGTCTGCACAATCCCTTCTATTAACAGCAACCAGAGAAGGGCCAGGTGTCCCACAGGAGGCTCCTTCCTCTGGGTTTCCTTTTGGTTGTTTTCCTGAAGAGGTTGTTTAGTGAGTTCCTCCATTTTCTGTGTTTGCTATAAACTAGAATTTAGGTCTGGAGAAGATGCACCTTGAACCCATCACATTATTGTATTTAGAGGCCTGAGAAATCAGAGGACTTACCCCATGTCATCTTAGCTAGTAAAGTAGACTTGTGTATGGGGATTGACACTTTTACTAGTGATTTCTAGGTGAAGGGGACCGTGTATGGAAGGTTGCCCAGGTTACTAACAACCCTCCTCTCTCGGGATCCCTTTCTAAACAGTACCACATTCATAACATGATACTTAACACATGGTAGACCCTCTGGATGTTTGTTTGTAGATAATAAATAAACACCTAGTAAATGGAAGAGGGCAGAGCAACAGGCAGCAGCATGGAGGAAGCCATGTCTGGCCATAGGGAAAGTCTGCTAAAAGCACTCATAAGGGCCTTTGCTACAAAAGGGATGCGTTGGAAGTCACCAAGCCAGTGCGGATTCAAGAAGAGACCAATGTGAGTTAAAATGTGGGGGGAAAAAAGTCTGCTTAATAGCAGTATCCTGACTACAGCAGAAAAGAGGACTATAAAAAAGTTGAACAAATAAAAAAAAATTTTTTTTCTTAAACCTCGGGGGAAAGTAAAATCTAATTTTGCTGAGCAGTGAAGGCAGGAAAAGAATTAATATTTTGTTGCCCATATATCCATTTATCCAACTCTAATGGGCTTTGGGGTGTGTCAGAATTGAGATGAAACTTTCCCTGGCAATAACATTTATTGAAATCAACAGAGTTTGGATCCTTAACATGGAGCTACCTTTTTTTATTATGAAAAGAATTGAGTAGAAACTGGATCCTTTATTTATATCTATCTAATGTTGCTTCACTCCACTCTCTTGAACATAATGTGTCAAACAAACTTTTCATTCCTTTAAAAATAGATCTGTTACAATCCCTGCACAAATTTAAAATAGAAATAGTTTAATGAGAATGAGGGAGACTGAAGGAATTAGTGAAGCTGGTGGGAATAATTCTGCAGGGGAAAAAAGATGGGTAAAATTGCAAGGATAGGAAGTTCTGCTAATTTTGTAATGTGAGGAACAATGACAAGTCTGTGTAATGGGAAATTTAATTGTTTAGTCTGTATATTACTTATGCATCTGGAAAATATCATGTAAAAGGCAAGAAGAAAAACTAGAAGATTTTGAGTAAGAGAATATAGAAGAAATAACACTATAAAAGCAAAAATAATACTTTTACACCTTGTGTTATAATATTCTCCATTTTATGGATGCAGAAGTTGAGACTCAAGTTAAATAACTTGCCCTAGTTCCGGGGGGGGGGGGGGGAAGGGACCTGGGGAATACTGGGTTCACATCTGCCCCATCAGGCTCTCGGATCTGTTCTCCTAATCACTGTGTAGCCTGACGTGTTGGGCTATCGGAGAGGAAAGTTCTAGTTTAGAAACGTAAGAAGGGAATTTGGAAAACCAATGGAAAAATTGGATAGGACAGTTGGGCAGAGGGAGCACATACAAAAATAAGAGTAATTCCCAGGCTGTAAATAATTGGAGGGTAGCAGCCTAGTAAAATGAAAAGTAGGAGACAGCAGAAGCTAAAAATGTTATGAGAGGTGACCAGTAACCCCTGCATGACATAATGCCACCAGGAAATGAGTGCACAAGGCACCTCCCAGCTTAGCAGGCCTCGGCTATAGAGGGAAGGGACGCCTTAGCATCTTAGATGGAGAGGAAAGGAAGGGCAGAGCCTGGGGGGAACTGGGAAACTGCCCTCCCCCTCTTCCCAAGGGGGTGGGGGAGTTTCAGGGTGAAGTCAGCTGAGACTCCATAAGAAAGCTGATGCGAAGCCCTCGGTTGCATCTGGATATTTCCTTCAGGTTTTTATGATGTGGTTCAGGTGACAAGATAGTGAAATGAATAACTGCGATAATTTAAAGAGATCATAACATACATTGTCATGGCTATCAATTATACTATCTTCTCTACAAACTGTTTTTATTAAAATAATATAAATAGAAGTTCCCAAATTAACTTTAATTATTTAAATATGCATAGCATTTTTT